TCTGCAGTGTCTCCACTGGCTATCAGATCCTTCAGAGGCGACTTTTCAAGAGGCATCCCGGATCAGTCAGCTTGCGAGAATAACCCCTGAACACAGAGTCTTCTCGGAGCCCACCATGGGCTGGCTCTTTGACGGAGGCCAGCACGACTCTGCTGAGTTCCTGCAGCAAGTGTTTCGGAATCTCTCTGCATCAAGATTTGGACAGTGGGAAACTAGAGCCTCAGTACCGGAAGGCGTGATAGTGGACGAAGAAGGGGGCTCTCCCATTCATCTTGCCACGGCGATCAATACCAACCTACAGGACATGCTAGTGGCATGGTCGTCTCAGGAGCGCTCTTGTGCTCTCATAGAAGCTGCACAGCAGGTGTGCTTAGCCTTGCCGAGATTCGCAGGTGAAGCTAAGGATCACACTCGCATCACAATCCCACAGCAAGTCCAGATCCCTGTCTTCCTGGACCACACATCCCGAGTTTCGTTCTGTACCTACACAGTAGAGGCAGTGATCATTCACCTAGGAATGGAGTCCACTAGTGGCCATTACCGTGCAGCTGTACGCGCAGCAGATGCCTGGTATGTTGGTGATGACTCCCACCCCCCTAGTCCCTGTACCCTCGAAGATCCCTGCTTCAAGAAAATAGCTACGTCATCTTCCTAGCTCGCAGCGCCGTCTCTCACGAGCCCTAGGACGTAGCCAATCTCCCGAGTAATGTCTCTGCAAGAGTTCTTCCAGCGAGCATCGATGGATGAGAGCTCTGCCCCCAAACGGGGAGACGCAGGTCCGTCAGGTGGAGATTCTCCCCTGAAGCGACAGCGTGGTGGAGGTACTCCCCAGCAACGAGGCAGAGGACAACAGCGAGGGGGCAAAAGCAGGGGACGAGGAAGCGGAGGCCGAGGGAATGGAGCAGCCAGAAACCAAAATGGGAACAGTGGCAACACTCAGCAGGGACAAGGCAATGTATCGAAAGAGTTGATCAATGCCATAGCGCGGTTAGCACTCCGACATGACGAGCAAATTACAGCCCTTGCCATGGCAACCTCTTCCTGAGCCAGACGCCTTGCGGAGATGCTCCCTTAGGAGGAGACTCTCCCCAACAATCGGAGGAGTTTCTCCCCTTGCCATGTGTGTACAGCTGGTGGAGTTTCTCCCCAGGGGTTTTTAAACAGTAGGAGAACATCAGGTGGAGCTTCTCCCCTCGTCAAGCCGGTTAGCTTCAAGCTAGTGCCGAAATCATAACGCCGCTTAAGACTCTGAAGACACATTCGCTTCCCACTTCACAGCTTGCAGCCCTGAGGGGCGGAGCGTGTGCAAGTGCAGCGCTGAGGCACGGCTTGCCGTGAAGAGTGACCGCGCAAGTAGAAAGCAGGGCACACTAGGTCGATCCCTCGCAAAGCGTGGACGATAAGTTTCACCACAGACAGTCCTTCCCCGCTGCGTGTGAATGAAAATGTGCTTGTGATCAGCGGAGTCTTTTCATCAGGCCGATGGGCCTCCCCCGATACCTCTTCTCCACCAGGGTTGCCGGTATTCACTGGAAGAGTTTGAGGATGCATATGGCTCGCTGGGGGATTTGATTATCTTCCAGGCCATGGGGGACTCCAATTGGGTGACGCCCGGGGCTACCCCTGTGAGGACACGGGTGCACATGTGAAGCTGACTTACTTGGGTTGCGAGGACAGTTTTTACCGATGGTATATTGAGCATGAGGGTGAGCCGGGTGGATTGCCTAAGGACTTTTCGTGGCCCGGGTCAAGGAGACGTCCAATGTTCTCGATAGCATGCTTGCGGAGACCGGGAAGGACGAGCAGATGGAGCCGGCTGCCGCTGGTCCTTTGGAGTTGAGGCTTAAAGAGCTGCGGGTGAAGCTTCATGAGAAGACCAAGGGCCACCCAACAGGTGCGGCAAAGGTTCTGGCCGAGAAGGCCCAGGCAGCAGCCTCAGCATCGAAGCCGAGATCGAGAAGAGGCCGGTCTGATGAGGTGGTGGATGCCTTGAAAAACGCACTCAAGCCTCAGCGTCGGGAGCGTGATCGTGATCTGAGGGAGCCGGCCTTGGAGGACTCCTACAGCGAAGGAGAAGATGATGACGATGGGCTCGACGGGGGCCTGGGTGTCAGCAGCCTGGTGGCGAAAAGGCGACGAAGCTGCGGGCGTCTCCTTTGCAAGGGCTTGCAGAACATGCGCGAGCAGGTGGGGGAGATCTTTGGCGCCGACGCGGTCGGTGAGGATAAGTATGCCCGGGTTGTCACGCGCTACTTGTTGTCAGTGCTTTTGCCGAGTTACCCAGCAAAGAATCAAAGCCGGCTCAGGGAGATGAGGACTTTGGCCCAGGGGCTAAATGATGGAGCCGCCGACCTTCTTATGCAAAGGTTCAAGTCCTTGAGTATGTTTTTGAGGAACGGTGATCCGAGGTATGGGCGCTACTTGGAGCTTCTTCCCGAGGACCTGATCGGGAGACGGAGTACGCCACGACCATGGCGCTCAAGGCGGCTAAGAGTGAGGCTCTCATGAAGAAGGGGTTGGTCGTCCTTTAGGGACTCGGGGGAGGATCGGAGCAGGGCAACGCTCCGACCTCGCCCGACCCTTGCACCGAGGACTCCTCCACGAGAGGCATCGCAGTCACCGAGAAGGAGCCCCCAAAGGGCTTCAGCACTCAGGGCTCCTTTGGAGAGACGTGCTCCGACCAAAGGTGGCCGGGGGCTGGAGCGGCATCTGAGCTTCAGCGAGGACATGCCGGTGAAGAAGAAGGTGGAGCCCGAGAGCACGGGAACAATGGCCCAAGCTCGTCAAGCTGTACCCCGAATGGAAGGAGAGAGCAGGAGCAAATGGAAGGACAGAGTGTTTGCACACCTCCGGAAGAGCCTGTGAATGGTCTGGTTGGGGGGGGGCAGTTCCCCCAGTGATCGGCTGGGGGCTTTGACGAGCCAGGCGGGGCACTCTCTCGCCCAGTGCCTGGGTGATCTTTTCCAGCTTTTCTTAGTGGGCCCCGACGTTCCTTTTGATGCACTTGCTGAGCGAATCATGCCATTGGTTGAGTGCCAAAACAAATTCCAACTTGGGATTTCATTGCTGCAGCTTTTGCTTCTCTCTTTAAGGGACCGGTGCTTCTTGAGCGATTTCACAAAACTCCTAGGTACCATCACGCCACTTGCCGGGGGGACTGAAAAGCGTGATTGCGGGAGCAGACAGCGTGACCTGTTGCCATTGCTCATTCCTGCATTCGGTGCCCTCCTTAACCTTGCAAGGAAACATAAGCAACCAGTCTCAGGAGTTATCGTTTGGCGCTCAGCGGAGGCCCGGAAGTTGGGGAAGCAGCAGCTTAAGAAGTCAGCGAGTGCAGCATGCAGTCAAGTATGGCGGCTGTTGACTGTGATTATTTTGAATGGCATGGGCACGGGATGGCATGCGCTAGCGCCGGCTAGCGGGCATGTCATGACTCGTGCGCAAGCCGCCGCCTTGGATACTCCGATTCACCACTCGAGGCCCGGCCGCCGGGTGATTTCGCGGAGTTGATTCGGGCGCGGCAGGTTGATTCCACTGGGGATGCCGTTCTTAAAGCCCTTCCGCTGCGACTGGAGGAGCTGGCTCCGGGGCTCCCGGAGGATGGTGTCGCAGGGAGCTTGGATGCTTCAGCGATTGCGGATGATGAGGTTAAGCGTTGGGTTCATGACCCGAGTTGGGCCCTTCTTGATCCTAGCTCATGGCCCCGTCCTTTACCATCGGCTTCCATGAATGTTTCAGCTGCGGAATGGGAGCGTGTGGTAGCCACTCTATACCGCAAAGGGATCGTGGTACCGATTGACATTGAAGAGGTCTTTGAACATGTGGACGGGGTTCCCGTTCTTAATCGGGTTTTTGCTGTCGCGAAACGCGGCGAACCGGCGCCGGGGGAGAGTCGTGTGACACGGCTCATCATGAATTTAGTCCTGGCTAATTCCCTTCAAAAGTTGATGGCAGGGGCTCGAGCCATTGGAGCGGTATTCATTTGCTGCCAAATGAAGTTCTGCTGTGGACGGGTGACGACCAGAAGGGGGCTTTCTATGCGTGGAAACTCCCGGAGGCCTGGAGGAAGCTCATGGCGTTCAAGATGCCGGTTCCAGGACATTTGGTTGGGCGCCCAGACGTTGCTACCATTCATGTTGCGTCAGCTGTTATCCCGATGGGTTGGATAAATGCGGTGAGCCTTTTTCAACGGCGTGTGTGCCAGTGGGGGCTGGGTTGGAGCCGTCTGATGAGTGGCGGCGTGATCGGCCTATCCCGCGTGGCGCAGTTGACGGTGGGGGGAAATGGTTCCAATACTATTTGGATGATTTTGATTGTCCTGAAAAGGTGGCTAAACATACGTGGCAAGCTTTGGTTAACACTATGTCACCCACACAAGCTATAGGCAGCGCCTTTTATACGATCGCATTGGTATTGGAATCTCTGAGAAGAAAGCTCATGTTCGGGAGCCGTGCGTTGTTCGAATGGGTGCTGAGGTGGATGGTGTGAATGGGCTAATGTCTGCCCCCCGTGAGAAGATGCTCGAAAAGGTTGGTTGATCATTTGGGCACTGTCACGCCCTGCGCTGTCACCACGTATGACAATGGTGGTGTTGGGTCGCCTTACCCGTTGCTTCGAGTTTCGTCGTCCTTGCATGGCGGTGCTCAACAAGTGTTGGCCCAAGTCGATGTGGTGTCGTGCTTCAAAGCTTCCTTTTGCACATGCTTCCGAGCTCATCACAGCGGGTTCATTATTGAGTTTGGCCGTGACGGACTTACGGACTCCAGTGTCGGGGCTGGTCACTTGTTCGGATGCCTCTACAATGGGTGGGGGCATGTGCGTCTCGTCTGGTTTGACTTCGGCGGGGGAGGAGCTCTTGTCAAAGTTGGATACAGCACCGTTTGACACTGAATGTTTCAAACCACAGGCAGTATGCAGCGCAGCATGAGCTCAGGTCCGAGGGTACTGGTGGTATCACTGTTTGATGGTGCGAGTGGTGTGATGTGTGGTATGACTAGGCTGCCCTGTGCGGTGCAAGGCTATGCCATGTCTGCACTTGATCGTGATGAGTTGCGGCTTTCTCGTACACGATTCCCGGGCGTAATACAGCTAGGGAAAGTGGAGCACATTGATGCGGAAACCATCTCGAAACTGGTGACTTCGGTAGGTTATCGACTGGACTTTGTTCTCCTTGCTGCGGCTTCCCCCTGTACTTCATTGAGTAAGAACGATGCGAGTCTCTTCTTTGATATCAATCGGATTTACAGTTTGCTGAGAGATTCGTTCGCTGTACCAGTTCATCTCATGGTTGAGAACTTGGCAAATATCCCGCCGGACGACATTCGTTCGTTCAACGAGGCATTGGATCTCAAGCCTTACCTTGTCGACTCAAAGTACTTCACGTGGGTCCGGCGGCCCAGGCTCTTCTGGGTCACCTGGGGCATCTCGCTCATGCCAGGAGAAACCCTGGTAGATCATGAACTGTTCTTTGAGTGGGTTTTCCCCGACGTGCGAGGTGATAAGGAGGCGTGGGTTGATGAGGTGAGTTCGTGGCATGCTCCTGATTGTCAGGCCTTGCCGGTCTTTACGCGACCTCGCCCTAGGAAGCTGCCTCCTAGGGACGCGACTGTGAGTGATGCTAGCATGGAGGCAGTAACCAGGTGGCGTCATGATCTGCATCGATTTGATGTCGAATGTTATGACCAGCGGTTCATGCTTACTACTGAGGATGGTGTGTTAAGGCTGCCATCTTCATCTGAACGCGAGCGTCTCATGGGCTTCGATGACAACTACCTTAGTCAAGGAGTGCATCCAAAACATAAGGGAGTTGCGCGCCAAACTTTGGTGGACTCCGTCGTTGGTGGTACTTACTGTGTTTTTACAGTTCTGGTTTTGCTTGACGAGCTGCTGCACATGTATGGGAGTAGCCGGATTAGGCAGCGCCAATCTTTCCTGCAAGTGGTGTGGCTCCCGCTTGCTGGACTGATCGACCCTCTTTTGTCAAGCAAACACTCCCCTCGTCTGAGGTTGTCCGCCTTGTCCCTCATTTCTTGCGAATTGCTGAGAAGAGCGGTACAGACGTTCCGTTGGATGCAGGGATTCCGTTTCGTGCTAAGGCATGGCCTCGTACTGGAATACAAAGTCAACTGTTCAAGTGGGCCACTGTTCACTGTTCACGGATATGCATGAGTTTCCTGACTTACCTTGCAGATGCTAACCTGGTGGCTGGCCAGGCCAATCAGCTCTGCGAGGCTGCAGCGTCCTGGGTTGAGTTTCTGTATGCCGATGGGCAACGGAAAGGTCTGGCTAGCGACGGACTAGCGGGGCTGCAGTACTTTTTGCCTGAATGCCAGGGGCATTTAAAGTTATCTTGGAAGCTGGTCAAGGTATGGCAACGTATTGAACCACCGATGCGAGTGTTGCCTCTGAGTCCTTTGCTGGTCCTCGGTATGGCAGGCTTGGCTGCTTGCCTGGCGCTTCCAGACATCGCTGCGGGGCTGTTGATTTGCTTCGATGGCATTTTGAGGAGCGGCGAGCTCTACCAATTGCGTGTCGGAGACATCACCTTTTACACTTCGAGGGCAGCCTTGCGACTGGGGCTGACGAAGGCTGGTAAGCGAACCGGACAAGAAGAGATGGTGGTGATTAACAGACAAATAGCAGTCAAGTGGCTCCATCGTGCCTGTGTCGGCATGTCTGATGATGAACTGCTTCTGCGACGCGGACCGGATTTCTTTCGCGAGTGCTTCAAGCTGTTTATCAACGAATTTGATTTGGCCGAATTAAAAATTAATGTGTACTCTCTGCGCCGAGGTGGGGCCACTTGGGATTTCCTTGCATACCAGAGCATGGAACGCACTCTACTACGCTGCCGCTGGGCGTCCACGTCCTCGGCGAGGGTGTATCTGCAAGATGCTGTGGCAACCATTGCGCACCTCAAGTTGGCACGGCCAATCGTGCAGCGACATTTCTTTCGACGGCTAAAGCCAGGTAGGAACCGTGAAGGATGGCTGAGAAGCTTGTTTCCTTCTGGCACACCTGTGTCGTGCAGGTCAGATGTGCAGCTTCTCAGTTGAGCCTCTCTTTTGCTGCGCAGAGGTCCCCTCCGAAGAGCGCTTCTTCCGAGTGGGCTTTAGGGCTTAGCTTAATTAGAGGATCCCTCGTGGGAACTTCCACAGAGATGCAAGCCATCTCTACAAGCTACTCCTGGCGTGATGGAGCAAAAAGGATCTCGTTGCGATCACATGGAATCATGTGAATTGCGAAACCTGTTGAGTGTGAACTTGTGCTTGTGATCAGCGGAGTCTTTTCATCAGGCCGTTCAAAAGCAGTTTTCATCTCCCGCCCGCGCCGCCCGGTGGATTCGGTTCCGACCGGGTGGTTCGGAAAGGATGGCTGAGAAGCTTGTTTCTTTCTGGCACACCTGTGTCGTGCAGGTCAGATGTGCAGCTTCTCAGTTGAGCCTCTGTTTTACTATGCAGAGGTCCCCTCCGAAGAGCGCTTCTTCCGAGTGGGCTTTAGGGCTTAGCTTAGCTTAATCAGAGGATCCTTCGTGGGAACTTCCACAGAGATGCAAGCCATCTCTACAAGCTACTCCTGGCGTGATGGAGCAAAAGGATCTCGTTGCGATCACATGTATTTTGCGTTGCTGCCTTTGTCGGTTGTGCTAGGAAGTCCGGAGCTGTCTGGTGTCAGTTTTCCTGTTCTCCATGTGATGCTCATGGTTGCTCTTTGGGCAAAGCGGTACAGCGAAAGGGCAGTGGTTGTGAGCACATTTAACTAGGCCGACACGAGCGGTCACGAGCGAAGCTGGTCATGCTTGTACGATTGTTGGCTGGGATCGATGCCCTCCACAGCTGCATACGTGCAGGTGCGGGTGCGGGCGTTTCAACGGGGACAGAACCCATATCAACGTGTTACATGTTGTTGTCAGCATTGCACTTCGCAGACAGCACCATATGACGTTCCTTGTGTCTGGCGCGACGACGACGCGGAGGGACGGGACCCTTATCCCTCAACACATTCCATTCCTTGCGTGTGGAATGAGTGACCGAAACCTACCCCTTTATCCCATTTGGGCCAGAAACCCAACCCGTGACGACTTGTTGCAATCTGTCTTTGTCTCGCCTGCTCCTGTCTGTCTTCCTTCGCATCAGCACGTGCTGAGCCAAAGTGCGTGTCGTTCTGGCTCCAGATTCTGGCTTACCCGAAACTTGGGGCCAGATCAGAGTGGGCAAAAGCCCAAGCCCGTGATAGTGGATGCACAACTTGACGAGCCAACTGAGCTTCACAGGCTGGATCATCATCATAGGTGCCAGCTTCAGTTGCTGAATTTTTCCGATGCCTTTCATCTTGGTCATCTTTGCCGAACGATGGCGAACGTTTGCAGCGTGACGAGCAGAGCGATGGCATATGCACGTGCGAATTCAGAGGGTTGCTGGGGATGGGGCTAGGCAACGCGACTCGGGTAGGCTTCAGGCAGTGAGGGTTTGCGCTGTGTGTGATCTGCTATTGTCAGTGCCCGTAGGAGAGTGATGCATGTGTTGTGCAAGGTTACGGGGTTTTCTTCCTAAAGGTCTAAGGTGTGAGGCCGAAGTGGATGAAGCCCTGAAGTATTAGTCAGGGCCTGTGTGTGTACACACCTGAACATGGCGACAGAAGGAGCCTTTCATCGCAACAGTTTGCTCGCAAGTTTTTTAGGCAGGGGGACTGCATGCTCTGTTAGATGTTCGCTTTAGGATGCGCAGGGGGTCTCAGGTCTGTTACTCTTGTTGGGACCAACGAAAACCATGAGTAGCAGACGTGAAAACGTACCTGCTCAGAGGAGTAAGCGGGTGGCTGAGTCCGCAGCTGGTATCCTCAACGGGACAGAACCCATATCAACGTGTTACATGTTGTTGTCAGCATTGCACTTCGCAGACAGCACCATATGACGTTCCTTGCGTCTGGCGCGACGACGACGCGGAGGGACGGGACCCTTACCCTTCAACACATTCCATTCCTTGCGTGTGGAATGAAGGACCGAAACCTACCCCTTATCCCATTTGGGCCAGAAACCCAACCCGTGACGACGACTTGTTGCAATCTGTCTTTGTCTCGCCTGCTCCTGTCTGTCTTCCTTCGCATTAGTACGTGCCGAGCCAAAACAAATGTGTGTCTGTTTCTGTGTCTTTGTGTGCGTGTGTGTGTCTGTGTGTGTGTGTGTGAGTGTGAGTGTGTGGCTGTGTGTGTCTGTGTCTGTGTCTGTCTGTGTCTGTGTGTGTGTGTGTGTGTGTGTCTGTGTCTGTGTCTGTCTGTGTCTGTGTGTGTGTGTGTTTGTGTGTCTGTGTCAGTCTGTGTGTGTGTGTGTGTGCGTGTAGGTGTACGTGTATGTGTGTGTGCACATGCACACTCATGCTCTCCGATCCTCATCCCCACTCGAAGCAGGCACAATGCCAAGCTAGTTCCAACATGGTCACTCACTGGCACCAATGGAAAGCTCGCAAGCAAACACACTAACTAAGTGTCGGCAGCCCACTTGGCCCTCGTCGCACATATCTCTGGGTGGATGTGAGTGTTTGTGCGCACGGCAGCGTAGAGTTGTACAAGGAGCGCTCCTTTTGCCTCTCTCTCCCTCTCCCTTTCCCTCCCCCGATACATAATATGTGTATACGGTTTATAGTATACCTTTATAAAGGTATGTACAGAAACACATATACATACATACGTACATACATATTACATATATATATATATGTATTCTTATGTATACAGATATGCAAATATGTATATAGATATATGTGCATGCATATATGTAAATACTTTACATGTTTCGGTGAATGGAGCAACAAGTCGAAACATGAGAAGACGAAGGAGTAGTCTCTGCTGTGCTGTGTGCTAGAGCCGTGACTCAAGGAGGAGGAGCTGCAACGTCTCCAAGAACGTCGCTCTCAGGAGCAGCAAGCTCTTGGACTCCGGCCGGGCTCTGACACAAAAAGGAATCCGCGGAGCGGGCCTCCGAGATCCCGCAGCTGCCGAGGTCCGCGAAGAGCGCGAGCCGGCGTGTCGAAAGTGAGCGGTGCCGCCGCCAGGACCGGGCCACAAAATGATGGAGGATGAAAGTGGAGTCCTCTTCCTTGGCTGGGTTGGGTTTTGGCTTGAGGGCTAAGAAGGAGCGAACTTGGCAGCTCGATGAAAGGAGGTTCATGAGCTTTGATTTCGTGTTCCTGCATTTGCCATCAGGAGTTAGCAAGGGAAGTGCTGCTGAGTTTGCATGCGGCACGCTCAGACGTCATTAGATGGATTCACCGGATTCTCAAGCGGATGATGTTCTGACGCGCTTGACATTGGACCCTTTGGCCAGCATAACTCGGCAAAACTGCCAGCACGCGGTTGCCAAGTTGTCCTGAGCGGCTGCAACTGCAACGCACTTCCTTGGCCGAATCTGAAATCGAAGGCCGAACAAGCTGCTCGACGCGAGGCAGGTGTTGGACTTTCGCGGCTTTGGAATTATGTGTCTTTGTGCCGCCATGCTCTGCCCTTTCGGACATGGAAAAGCCTGATTCGATGTTCGGTTGCGTGTCATGTCGTTAGCCATTAGCCATCGACGCATCGACACTGTTCGTCACAAGGCGAGTAATGGTCTTGACAATCTCAGAACAGCAGTCGTAGGGCAGCAAGTCGAAATCTTTGGAATGCAGCATGAATCTTGAGCTCCGAAACCAAACAGATACCTGACCAGGTGGGGCGGCAGCAGGGTGGCGAGTTGGCTCAGAGGTGCAAGGCCGGAGTGGGAATCAGAACACACTTTAGGCCATGTGTTCAAGTTGATGCCCGCATTTTGGTTGCGCCTGCTGTAAGGAAGGAGTAGTGAGTAGTGGGTGAGTGTGGCTGGGTATTGCGAGGACCTCAGCAGGATCAGCCGTTGCTTCCGCGCCCGGAGGTGACGATTACAGCCCGATGCACCCTTAGATCTTAGCCCTGCCAAGTCTCTCGAAACCGAACTGGACAAGACTCTAGGCAAGCCCGCCACCTGCACCTTCCTTGCAAAAGAAATCGCCAAGAAGGCTGCCGAAAAAGCAAGAGCTCATCCCGATGCAATCGCTGTTTGGAGTGTCCCCAACAGGGCGTGGGCTGGTGGCTGCTGGCAAAACATGGCCAATTCTCTTCCCGCTCGATTTCTAGCCCAAGCGACACCCTCGATTCACGCACCGCGGTAGCAAGCGGCCGCCTCGACCGGCTGCCACGACCTCAAAGCGAAGCAGCACTCCCTCTGAGTGAATCGTTCAATGCTTGCATCTAGCGGCAGCGACCAGCACCAGAGGGCGGTGCGTCGGCGGTGCGTGCTGTAAGGAAGCAGTCTGATGTGGTTTGGATGAGCTACCTTCTCATGTCGAGCGAGCCAGGGTTATGGAAGCAGTATGTCGAAGCGGCAAGAAACATGTGTACACGGGGCCGCCTATGCCCTCTTCGTTTCAGCTTCTTGGCTGCTTGAAGTTTTGCATTGCAACAGCAACAGGAAGGCTGTAGTTATGCATGGACCCTCTGCGCTGCTTGGCAGGACTCTGACTTCTCACACTGCCGCCCCGTTGTGGAAAGCCGTTGGCGAAGGCTCAGACAAAGGGGTCCTGACAGATTCGTGCTGCATTTGTGCCTCATCTATCGTGCCTGCCCATCCTCTCAGGCAGAAGTCGAGATCCTGCTCTGAGCCGCCAGAAAGAGAGTCAAGCACTCCTCCCAGTGGCTCTTGCTAGTGCTTCTTGCTGCCGTACGGACCAGCTTGATTTCGTATAGCATACCCCCACGACAGACATGTGTATGCGCGGGCCAGGCGTTAGGGGGTCAGTCAAAAGCAGTCAACAGTTCAGCCAGCATCAACGAAGATGCCGGTCTTGTTTAAGGCGACCGGCTCATTCTGGGAAAGTTGCAAGATGTGGAACACAAGTGAGTGTCACGACGTGCTTTGTGCTGCCCGGTTCTGCTGCTCTCTCAGGCTTGCGATTGCCCCCAATCGCACCTGCAATCGCTTGAAGCGGCAGGCTCAGCGCTGTACGGCATGACAGCCTTGCATGCAGCGTGTGTTTGCGATGGCAGTATA